CGGATGATTTTTGACAGTCAGGGAAGGTCACAGACTTATTTATGAGTCCTTTAATTTATCTTCCACGGATTCACACTAGTAATACCATTGCTAAATTTGCAGATGATACAACAGTGGTGGAACTCATCTCTGGGGGGGCGGGGATGAGTCTGCCTACCGAGATGAGGTGGACCAATGGTTGCTTTTATGGTGTGGAGACAATAACTTGGTCCTCAACACCAATAAGACCAAGGAGCTTATAGAAGGAACAGATCAGACATCCAGCCCTTGCTTATCAAGGGAGACCGAGTGGAGCAAGTGGCCAGTTTTAAGTTTCTGGGTGTTACCATAAAAGAGGACCTGACCTGGGGTGCCCACATTGCAGCCCTGGTCAAAAGGGCCCGGCAGAGATTTTACTACCTGAGACTTCTCAGAAAACAACAACTGAATGGAAAACTGCTGGTGACCTTCTACCGCTGCACCAGAGAGGGCATCTTAACTTCCTGCACCTCTGTATGGTTTGCCAATTGAACAGGGGCAGATAGGACAGCACTCCAGAGGGTTAATGTCATTGCCCAGAGGATCATGGGTTGCCCTCTCCCCTCTTTGGAAGAGCTTTATAGCTCCCGCTGCCTTAAGAAAGCTCAAATCATTCTCAAAGATCCATATCATCCTGGGCACCCCCTGGTTTTGAACTATTACCATCTGGCAGACGGTACAGGATAATAAAAACAAGGACAAAGGCTGAAAAACAGCTTCTATCTCAGGCCAGTAGCTATATTGAACTCTTACTGTGTAGTGCAATATTAATGCAATATCAGGGGTTTTCAATTCAATTGCATAGAATGTGAAGGGTGCATGTTTGTGTTTATTTTCATGGTCATGATGTGCACTTAAGATGGTGTTTGATTTTGTTGTACGAGATGCAATGACAATAAAGTAACTAAGCTAAAATAAACTAAATTCTTTCTGCCAGGGACAGCAGGAACCAGAGAGTTACCTTGGTGGATTCAGAGCGCCCTTGAATTTTGGAGCAGGGAAAGGCACCATTTGCTGACTTCTCTTGAGTCAGCAGAACATTTTAGGATGTCCGATTGGTGGTGGTGGGGGGGATAAACCTTGCACGCCTGTGTGCCAGAAGTCTATTTTTTCAAATGGAGTAAGATGGAGTGGGTAGCGAGCACAGGGGCATGAAAAGCCCTTGGAGGGAGAGAAAAAAATCACTCACAAGCAAATGTCAGTGTTGAATCAACTCAGGAGCAGGGATCTAAGCACCGATCTTTGAAGGAAAGGAAATTAGAAAAAGATTGAGGTTTTTAAAAACACGCTAGTTCAGGTGGATCTCGCCTTACGACCACGGTGTGGAGCACAACATTTCCACTGTGAAGCGAGGCAGTTGTTAAGCGAGTTTTTTGCCCCATGTGAGTTACGAACTTACGACCATAAATTTAGCCCCAAATTTCTGTGGCTAAGCGAGACATTTGTCTTGGCCCCATTTTAAGGCCTTTGAAAATGAGTTTGGGCCCATTTCTTGACTCGGTGGTTAAGCGAACCACTATGGTTCTTAAGTGAGACACCCACAATTTCCAAAGGCAATTTCTTCCACTGATTAATTGATCTTACTGTTAGGAATTTTCTCCTTAGTTCTAGGTGGTTTCTCTCCTTGATAAGTTTCCATCCATTGCCTTCTTGTCCTGCTTTCAGGTGCTTTGGAAAAATAGTTTGAGCTAAGTAGTTCTAGGTGGTTTCTCTGTGTCAACTCCTGAGATATTGGAGCACTGCTACCATGTCCCCGACTAGTCCTCCTTTTCATTAGACTAGACCTACCCAGTTCCTGCAACCGTTCATCATATGTTTTAGCCTCCAGTCCCCTAATCATCCTGGTTGCTCTTCTATGCACTCTTTCTAGAATCTCAACACCTTTTTTTATAGTGTGGTGACCAGTGGTGGGATTCAATCTTTTTTACTACCAGTTCTGTGAGCGTGGCCTGGTGGATATGGCGTGGTGTGGCATAGCCTGGTGGGCATAGCCTGGTGGGTGTGGCAGGGGAAGGATACTGCAAAATCTCCATTTCCACCCCATTCCAGGGGAAAGTTACCATAAAATCCCATTCCCTCCCCACCCCACCCCACCCCACTAGCCTGCTTTCCAGCTCTGTTCTCCAGTGCAGGGCAACCAAAGAAGACCCAGCCGATCAGCTGGGACTCAATGGGAGGCCGGGAATAGATGGGGTTGGCAGAGCCAGTCAGAGGTGGGATTGGCCGGTTCTCTGAATGACTCAAAATTTCTGCTACTGGTTCTCCAGAACGGATCAGAACCTGCTAAATACCACCTTTGGTGGCAACCAAAACTGGATGCAGTGTGGCCTTACCAAGGCATTATAAAGTGGTATTAACACTTTACGTCATCTTGATTCTATCTCCCTATTAATGCAACCTAGGATTGCATTAGTTTTTCTTGGCTGCTGCTGCACACTGCTAGCTCATCTCGCTGTTGTCTCATTCACTGCTTTGAGTTATTTGTTAAAAAATAATAAGGGCGGGATAAAATTCTAAAAAAAAAAAAAAGTTTGAAGAGCTGTGCAAATAAAGAAGAGTTACGACCTTGGAAAATCATCAACTCTAATTGTTCTAAGGAAGCTCGAGGCCTGTTTCAACTTCTCTTTATAACTGTTTCAAAAGACATGCAGTTTAATGCAAATCAGAAACCAGGATACTATACGTCCCTCTTTCAAAAAGGAAATGAAATAAACTGTAAAGCAGCACACGTTTTGCATTCAACGTGCTGAAAAAAAAAAAAACACCCCGAAATAACCTTTTGCAAATTCATTTTCCTGGGCCGGGAGCATTTCCTGTCCTGTGTAGGACATGAAAATCTCGTTTTTCTTGTAAAACTGCACTTCCTCTTTCGCAGAATTTTACAAGGGGAACTAAGCAACAGCCTCTTCCAATTGTCAACCTCTCTGTCCTGTCCCACGTAAGTCCCCTGGTGTAGTTTTCCTTCCAGGGAACTGTTCTGTCCTAGGCCTCCCCAAAAAGCACTAAGTCAATTCTGAGTCCCAACAAAAGCCTCTTTTATTACATTGATGTGAATTTATTTCATTCACAGTCAGCGAACAGCTTGGCAAACAGTCTTGCAAAGGTAGACTAATGAGCTCAGACCTTTATCAATCCTGGAACGCTGCCGGGTAAATAGTTCCACACTCAGTGCTGACAAGGAAGGGCTGGGTTACACAGACAAATCTCCACGAGGCTGGAACGAACGAACAAACGGACGAGTGAGTTGTTTCCTGCAAAAGCCCCCTCCCCTTTTGCTCCTCTTTTAATCCTGATGGGAGGGGCCATTCATCATCCACCTGTGGCCTTACTCCCACTTCGACCCTAAGTTCTTAATTGTTCCTTTCTTTTCGTTGCGCATGCGCAGGCTGGGAACCGGCTCCATAAGCTCCCCCGCCTCACTGCTGTCCAAGCCCAAAGGCAGTTGATGACTGCCAGCCTGCCCTGGCCCCATCTCTGCCTCTGATGCAGAGCCCTCGTCCGAGCCTTCCTCAGCCTCCAGGACTGACCCAGGTTCCTCCCCAACCTCCTCACTACTGTCCAACTCTGCTGCCAGCTCCGTCAGCCACCGGCAGGCCACAACAGGAACATCCATTCTGCTGGAAAACATGGAAAGCTGCACAATTTATTTACATGTGAAACCTTTGCACCCAGCAACGAGTTATGCAAAAGACCTTCAAACCAAGCAGGGTCCTCATATTAATTGAGCAGGAGGTGAGCCCACCGAGGAGAAACAGAGATTTTCCCTCCCTCTAAGCTTATAATTTCCCCCTTTGTAAATTCTACTTCCAGTTGTTTGTTTTTCCTTCCAACTAGACTCGGAGACAAATCAAACATGGATATATGGACAAGCGATTGATGTTATTTTCAGAGGACCAAAGAGAAAACCCAAAACATCGAAGCAGGAGCGTGGAGGAATGCAACCACTTAAATCCAAGTTTTTATGTGCATCACATATGCGATTGTTGAAGGGCGGATGGAGGGGAAGGAGTTGGCAGAAACTGGGGTTGGAGTCAAAAGAGGCAGCAGTCTAGAATCCCTACGTAGCCACAAATGAAACAAGTCCAACCTCCCTTGAATTCCGCAGATCCTTTTCCTAATTCCTAGCATAGAATCTCAGGATCCGGATACATCAGAAAAGTGGTAGAAGTGTTCATTTTGACTGTTGTGTGTTGGCTTAACAACCAGCACCAGAAAGGTTGTAAAATCGAGCAATAGCTGTGACCCATTCCGCTACAAATGACAGCCAAATTTGCAGGCTCAATGGTGGTCATAAGCCGAGGAATACTTTTTCCATTTCTTCAGCGAGCACCGCCACACGATTCGTCACTACCAGATGCTGTGAAGTTCTTAAAAGCCAGGCTAAAAACTGATTTTTCCCAGTTCTTCTGAAAAAAAAGTCCTTTTTATTGCAAAGCATTGGGCAAGAAAGCAGGGGGGAGGGGAACCACAAAGGGGACTTTGATAAATTCTTCTGGCAGGAAGGTGTCTTGTCAGAAAGACTTTTATTTTTTATCAACGTTAACAAAACAAGGACCTGGGGATTTAAGGCAGCCAAACAATGTCAGAGGAAGCCTAGAAGCTGCACTCATCATTAATCAGCAAGCAGACAGGAACAAAGAGCAAAAATGTAACTGCAAAACAGAGTTAAGCAGCACTAAAGAGAATACACGCACACATACACGCACACACTCATATCATCATCACAAAATCTCCAAAACCGTAAAGCCTACAAACTTCAAATTTGGCCCATATGTTCATCTTGGCTTCTAGGGGCTCACTAAGAAAGGATTTTTTGAAATGACCATCAAAGCATTTAGTATTTCCTATGTCATTATTATTATTAACATGCTCTGATGCTAAGGAGTTCTACTCCCCCTCCCCACCTGAAAAGAAATCTCTTCCAAATACAAAACACAAACAGAGGAGAGGAATTTCAGTTTCAGTTTCACAGCAGCAAGCAGCTTTAGTACAGAACAGTTGAGCTAAGCCACGCCAAGGCTCCTTGCTGTCTCCTTCTTGCTCACAAAGCAAATACTCTTTCAGTTTCCAAGCAGCCCTCAGTTCTCTGACACACTGACAGGACGCTAGCCAGATGAAAACTGATGGATGCTGGTAGGCAGAGGCAGATTTTTTCCCCCTTATTTTCCTCCCCAAAAACTAAGCCCGACCACATAGTTTCGTAGATAGATAGATAGATAGATAGATGATAGATAGATAGATGATAGATAGATAGATAGATAGATAGATAGATAGATAGATAGATAGATAGATAGATAGATAGATAGATAGATAGATATACCAGTAAATACCATACATGTAAGTACCCGCGAAAACTTAAGAAAACATATGTGTGTGTGTGTAGGTGTATTCGAGTCTTTTCCCATGTAAGATTAAGAGTATCTTGGCTTACATGGGAAAAGACCTACCTAGACCTACATACACACATACACACACACACACACACACACACACACACATTAAGGGAATCACTGCAGTTGTTACGTTAGTTAAGAGACCTGGTGGCGCAGTGGTTAGAATGCAACATTGCAGGCTGACTTTTCCCACTGTCAGACGAGTTTGATCCTGACCGGCTCAAGGTTGACTCAGCCTTCTGTCCTTCCAAGGTCGGTAAAATGAGGACCCAAAATGTTGGGGCAAGAGGCTGACTCCGTAAACCGCTTAGAGAGGGCACTGTGAAGCAGTATGTAAGTCTAAGTGTAATTGCTATTGCTAGTTACATGGTTGTAAAATGAATCTGGCTTTCCCATTGACTTTGCTCATCAGAAGGTCACAGGAGGGGGTCATATGACTCTAGGATGCTGAAACCATCATAAATAGGAGTCAATTGCCAAGCATCTGAATTTTGATCTCGTGACCATGGGGATGCTGCAACGGTTGTAAGTGTGAAAAAACAATCAGTGCCATTGTAACTTCAAACGAATTGTTTTAAGTTGAAGACTACCCATATCCATTAGAGGGCAGCAAAGACCCCTGGGAAAGTCCTGCTCATTGCTGACATCTAGTGGTGACTGAGATTTCTGCAGCCCAGACTTTGGAGTTCTAACCTCCATTAGAGGACAAGAATGAAACCTGGACAGACCATCAAAGGGGAGAAGAAGGAAGGAATGAAGGCGGGAGGGAGAGAGGGAAGGAGGGAGGGAGGGAGGGAAGGAAGGGGAGAAGAAGGAAGGAGGGGGGAAGGAAGGAAGGAGGGAGGGAAGGAAGGAAGATCCCAGCCAGAGAGAGAGAGAGACAGATCTCTGTCAATATCTTAAAAGTTCCCTTATGAAGTCTCCCCTTATTAATCTAAGCAACATTGCCTTGGAACAACACAGCCGTTGACCCATGGAGATCAGTTAAAAATAGCGAGCCAGCCATGGAGAAAGCCTCTCTTAAACCCTTTATGCAACTGAAGATAAAACTCTGACCCAGATGGCCAGATACGTAAAGTACTAAGTATATAATTCAGCCAAACTTGTCTCGATCTGTTAAAGAAACCTGCAAAAATTGCAGTGGGTAACCTCTGCCAAGCAATCCTTGTAATTTAACAAGGAGAAAGAAAATCCGACGCTTACTTGCATTTGGAAAGTTAATCCCTTCTGTACATTATCCCCCCACATGACCAGGAACTTCTGTAAAACGTTGGTTATGAATGTATCGCCTCATCTCTGGGAGGCTCATGAGATTGTCCCAAACACATAGTTTAAAAAAAGAAGAAGAAGGTTGTGGAGTTATACCCCTAGCAATCATACTGAACAAGAGAATAATATGATGATGATAGCAATTCAATAACCCAAGTTAAAGATGTATGTGAGAACAACTAAAACACGCTGAAATATCAATTTACCAATAAGGGAGAATATTTGCAGTTCAGGGTTCAATTGTGGGGTCCTTGGTGCTCTCCGAGCATGGTTGTTTTCTTGCAAACATTTCATGACCCAACTAGGTAACATCATCAGTGCTAGAAGGGAGGAGGAGGAGGAGGAGGAGGAGGAGGAGGAGGAGGAGGAGGAGGAGGAGGACAACTGTGGGGTCCTTAGTGCTCTCTGAGTTTGGTTATTTTCTTGCAGACATTTCATGACCCAACATCAGTGCTAGAAGGGAGTAGGGTTTGGTCCCTTCTAGCACTGATGATGTTACCTAGTTGGATTACGAAACGTCTGCAAGAAAACAACCAACATCCATTTAACATGATGGGGACACAGGTGTTATTTCTGAATGTCTCATGACTTAGGTATGGCATCCTCAGTGTCACCTCTGAAGACAGTATAAATGACTCCATTTCAGGGGTGGGATTCTACCGGTTCAGACTGGTTCTATAGAACTGGTTGTTATGATTTTGCGCAGTTCAGAGAACCAGTAAATCGTGCCCCTGGCTGGCCCCTCTCCTCCCCACCCACCCCTCCCCGCTCAGTCAGTCCTTATCGCGTATGCATGACATCGGGCGCATACCCAACATCGCTGATTGCATTCTCCACTGCCCAGTCACTCCTTAAGCTATTTCTTTTTTTCCTCCCAATGATCAGCTGTTCTGATGATCAGCTGTTCTGGTAATCCCCCTCGGTGTCTTGCTGCTTCGCCCAGGAGGCTTCCCTGAGGCCCAGGAGGCAAAAAAATGGAGCAGGCAGGGGAGCAGGGGTGGGTGCTGTGCACCCCACTGCGCTCTATTTTTTTGCCTTCCTGGACCCCAGGAAGCTTCCCTGAGGCTCAGGAGGCCCCAAAATAGAGCGCAGAGGGATGCTGTGTGCACACACCCACCCAGGCTCAGTTTTTCGTCTTCCTGGGCCACAGGGAAGCCTTCTGGGAGCAAAAATGCCCCCCACGCCCCGGAGGCTTCTTTGAGGCCCAGGAGGCAAAAACAATGAGGTGGTGGTGCTGCAAAAAAAAAAGAAGAAGAAGAAGCCATACCCACCCAGTCACATGGCCATGCCCACCTAGCCACGCCCACAGAACCAGTTGTTAAAACATTTGAATCCCACCCCTGCTTCATTTGCATAACATCTCTCCATTGACCATCACCACAATGAGAATTTCATCACTTGTATCCAAAATCCAGGCATGGTGCCTGCACAAGGTAAGTAGTTGAGTGGCTGCGGACCAGTACATATATATTCGTATGTCTAGTCTAACAAAGAGAAGGATTGGTGGGGGGGGGGGGGTGGCTTTATTGCAGTCTTTCAATATTTGAGGGGCTGCCCCAAAGAAGAGCGGGGTCAAGCTATTCTCCAAAGTACCTTGAAGGCAGGACATGAAGCAACGGAGGGAAAATAACCAAGGAGAGAAGCAACTGAGAAATTTCCTGACAGTTTAGGAACAATAAACCAGTGGAACAGCTTCCCTCCAGAGGTTGTAGGTGCTCCATCACTGGAGGCTTTTAAGAAGAGACTGGACACCCATTTGTCTGGAAGGGTAGAGAGTCTCTTGCTTGAGCAAGGGGGGTTGGACTAGAAGACCTCCAAGGTCCCTTCCAACTCTGTTATTCTGTTATTTTTCTCATCGTATCAAGAAGTCAGCTCAGAACCTACACAGACGACAATCAGCTTGCTTTTTGCTTATTTCTATGCCATACAATATTTCCATATCGTCCTGCTTGTGCTGACTCAACAACTGCATGCTCAGTTTTCATGCAAATGTATCCTCGCCAATTCATTTGAAAGGGAAACATTTCCAAACAGGATCCATTGCCTATTTTTGAATGTCTGCTAACACAACTCCAGTTTTAATTCTACAAAGATAAAAATTGCCCTTCTCCATCAAGCATGCGCAGTCCTACAGGTAGTCCTCAACTTACAGCAGTTCCTTTAGCGACCGAAATTACAACAATACTGAAAAAAGTGACTTATGACTGTTTGTCATAGTAATAACCATTGCTGCATCCCCATGGTGAGATGTAAATAAATAAATCTATCTATATAAAAGCGAACTGCCACTCATGCATCATCACAAAATCTCCAGAACCGTAAAGCCTACAAACTTGACATTTGGCACCTAAGTTCCTCTTGGCTTCTAGGTGCTCACTAAGAAATGACCATCAGAGTATTAGTATTTTGCATTATATTATTATTAACATGCTCTGATGCTAAGGAGTTCTACTACTCCCCCTCTCCACCTGAAAAGAAATCTCTTCCAAATGCAAAACACAAGCAGAGGGGAGGAGTTTCAGTTTCAGAGCACCAAGCAGCTTTAGTACAGAATAGTTGAGCTAAGCCACACCCAGGCTCCTTGCTATCTCCTTGCTCGCACAGCAAATATTGCTTCAGTTTCCAAACAGCCCTCAACTCTCTCACACGCTGACAGGACACTAGCCAGGTGAATACCGATGGATGCTGTTAGGCAGAGGCAGAATTTTCCCCCTTATTTTCCTCCCAAAAAACTAAGCCTGGCCACCAACTTTTGTAGTGAAGCATGGGTATCTAGCTAGTAAATAAATAAATAAACAAATAAAATATTGAAGAAATGCAGGAAGAATTCAGAGATTCAAAAAGGGTTGTAAAAACATTAAACAATCAATTAAAGATGTTTTTTTTTACATGGGAATGACTCCCTAAGGGAATTACTCTTAAACTTCTCACAATAAATAAGCAATGTTTGACTGGGAGAGCAAAGAGCTATTTATTAAGAAAGCATACAGTTAGATATAATACGTCCTTCCACCTACTCCTGAATAGCCCCTTCCATGGTCTTAGCCTAACCCTAATGCTTGATCCCAGCGTTTCTCAAACTTCACAATTTTAATCTTGACATCCATCTTAAAATCGTCAAGTTTGAAAAAAATCACCTTAACCATTACATTCAATTAATTTTTTTCTATAAAAACACCACCATTAATAGTGCTATTTGTCTATACTGCATATTGTTTTATGGCCATGAATATTTGCTAGATACACCAATAAACACACAATTTCTTCCATAAAATGCATGCAGGCCAAACATCCTGGAACAGATTATATTATTATTTTTAAAAAATCATACATTTTGCATTTCCAATGGAGCAATTTCAAACTGCAATTCCCAGCATGCTTAGAAAGCATGACCAAACAATGGCATAAAACAGGGATCTCCAACCTTGGCAATTTTACGACCATGGCAATTTTACAACTTGTGGACTTCCACTCCCAGAATTCCTGGGAGTAGAAGTCCACAAGTCGTAAAATTGCCATGGTTGGAGAACCCTGGCATAGAACTTAAGAAAAGAATTGGACAGGATGCCTTCCCTTGGACTATAAATTGCAAAATTTATTTCTCAAAGTTGATGGTTTGGTGTTTAAACTAAGCACATTTCACATTTATCTCCCCCAGCATCTCTGAACAAGAGGAGGTTACACACTCAACTCACAACAAGAAATTACAACCAGTGAAATCTAGGAGACAGATTTATCGCTTAACAGCATTTTGAAGATTGCCAAAGAGGCCCTCCCCAAACCAGATCTTCTGCAGCTGTCCCTAAGCTGCCGTTTTTTTTTTCCCAGGAGGCAAACTGGACTTTCTTGGTTTCTTTTCTTTTCTTTTCTTTTGAAGATGTTTCGCTTCTCATCCCAGAAGCTTCTTCAGCTCTAGGGAACGGAAGGCTGGGAAGCAAAATATCCCGTCAGAGCTGAAGAAGCTTCTGGGATGATAAGCGAAATGTCTTCAAAAGAAAAAAAAAGAGAGAAATTTAGTTGCCTCCTGGGGGAAAAAAGACAGTGCTCTTTTTTCCCCCAGGAGGCAACTAAACTTCTCTCTTTTTTTTTCTTTTGAAGACATTTCGCTTATCATCCCAGAAGCTTCTTCAGCTCTGTCTCTCTCTGTCTGTCTTTTTTCTGTGATAGATAGATAGATAGATAGATAGATAGAGAGAGAGAGAGAGAGAGAGAGAGAGAGTGATAGTGATAGTGATAGGTAGAGGTAGAGATAGAGATAGAGATAGAGATAGAGATAGAGATAGAGATAGAGATAGATAGGTGGAAGATACATGATAGATAGTGTTAAGTTTGGGGAATAATGGAGACCAGACATCTGACCAGTGACTTCAACTCTTTAATAATCGTAAATAGAACAGAACAGAGCAAGGCTATGGGCAACAGCAACCCTTTTATAGGGTTATCTGCTACCTTATTAACCAATGGCATGTGCCATAAGTTCAAACTTATAACCAATGAGAAGTGTCCAAATAGTGGCCAATCAGGGACTACTTATGGACCAATCCCTAGTTGTTGTATAAGGGCCAATCAGGTGTGCAGGTTTCCAAACCCTGATTTGCATTTATGTTAGTAACTTTTATTGATTCACAACACCCCTCCCCCTTGGGTTCCGTTTGAGGGGAGCTGTAATAAAATCCTCAAGATAGACAGGCCGTTTGGTCTGTCTGGATGATTTCCGTGGCTCCACCGGTTTTGGTCTAAGGTCCGGTTCCGGTGGAGCGTTTGGATGATCTTTATTAAATTCAGTTTCGCTGCACTGTGATTCCGTGCTGCTTCCACTGTGGTTGTCTCTGCTACTCCGTGTTTCTTCGGGGTTTTGCAGTTCGGTTTCCCCCGTATTAAAGTTCCCTGAAAAATTCAACTCCCTCCCCGCTTCAAGTTCCGGTGTTCCGCTGGGCTGTAGGGTTTCCGTTGGCCCGCTATTTGTCATATCAAAGTCAATTTCCTCGATATTTCCTCCCCCTTGAGTTGGTGAACCCGGGGAGTCATGGGTGCTGGGTGGTAATCTCGATCGGAGTTGGTCTATGTGGCGTTTCCACACCCTCCCATCGCCCGTTAGCAGGCGGTAAGATCTAGGCCCGGTAAGGTGGGTAACGGTTGCGGGTATCCATAACGGGTCGCCGGAAAAGTTTTTGGCAAAGATTAAATCGCCTACCTTAAATTCCCGGCATTTGCTGCTGGAGCTGAAGGGCTTTTCCGGTGCGAATGCGGGGTGGAGCCGGTCAAGGTGCGATCGTAGTTTCCGCCCCATAAGAAGTTCAGCGGGCGTTTTGTTGGTCACGCTGTGGGGCGTGATGTGCTGCAACAAGAGAATTCGATTGATTTTCTCATCGATGTTGCCAAATTCCATTTTGTGCAGGGTCTTTTTTACAAATTGTACCATGCGTTCTGCACGTCCATTCGCCGCAGGGTGCGCGGGCGAGGTTAGCGCATGGCGGATGCCTCGATCAGCAAGAAATTGTTCAAAGGGTAATGCAGTAAACTGTGGGCCGTTGTCCGAGACCAACACGTCCGGAAACCCGTGTGTGGCAAATAGTCTGTTTAATTTGTCTTCGGTGGGATGGATTCCTTGGCTGTCCAGGAGGTATCCCAAAAATTCTACTTTTTCGGTACATAACTGGCATTTATCTTTTTTAACTCTGAGGCCTGCATTTTGGAATCTTCGTAAAACCTCTCTGAGTTGCTTTTCTAGGATGTCTTTGTTAGGGGCGGCGATGAGTACATCGTCGAAATATGGTACGACCCCTCTGATCCCTTGTAACAACCTTTCCATTAAACTCTGAAAGATTCCGGGGGCAACGCTTACCCCAAACTGGAGCCGGTTGCATTTAAATGCGCCCCTATGCGTTATGATAGTTTGCGCTTCTGCCGTGGTAGGATCTACAGGCAATTGCTGATACGCCTGGGCTAGATCTAGTTTAGTGAAAACTTTCCCGCCACCCAGGGAATGGAGCAAGTGTTGCACTACCGGCACTGGATATGCACTTTGCTGCAGTGCGTGGTTTAAGGTGGCCCGGTAGTCTCCGCAAATTCTCAGTGACCCATCAGGCTTGATAGGCGTCACTATAGGGGTTTCCCAGCGGGCGTGGTTGGTGGGTTCCAGCACGCCCTGCGCTATTAGCTTATCGAGTTGTTCGTCAATTTTAGGCTTCAAGGCGAATGGCACCCAACGTGGCTTAAGGCGGATGGGTGCTATCTCAGGGTTCAAGTTAAACGAGATCGGGGTCCCCTTGTACTTGCCTAGTCCGTTCGCGAAAACGTCTTGGAATTCTTGCACGAGTGCTTCCTCCCAATCGTTGCTCTCGGCTCGGTGGACTCCGGCTACAGTAATTCCGAGCGGCCTGAACCATTGAAGGCCTAAAAGACTAGGCCTGTCGCGGTCCACGACAGTCAGTGGCAGAGCGACGGTACGGTCCTTGAAAGAGATCTGGAATCTGCGGGACCCGACGACGGGAATTCGGTTGCCCTGATAGTCTTTGAGTATAACCCTTTGAGGGTTAAGGTCTTGGCGGCGAATCGTTGGAATGAGCTGTTGGAGCGTTTTCCACGACACCATCGAGAGGGAAGATCCCGAGTCTACCTCCA